ACATAGACGGGAAACAGCTCCCGTAATCCCGAAGACAAACAAATAGTTTCATGATAGTGGCGTCTCATCCAGTGGCCTCAAAGCTCCTGGGACTGAGGCTCAGACTTGAACTAACACGTAATAAGGCTGATTGCGCCTAGTGCCTGGGGAAATTGACCGGTGACCTTGATGAAATCCATTTTCGACGACTTAGAGGTAAGATAAATGCCCTTGCATATTCGCTTGGATTGAAATTTCCGGTTGTGGCAACTATATTGCTGGCAGGTACCGTACGCCGGTAACCCGTATTGCTAATACCTTATGACGACAAACACCTTATAGCCATCTATGCTAGGGTCTTAAATATTGATTCTCACGCTCTTGTATCAGGATCATGATTCTATTCGGTTACTGGTAGAGCGGGACGAATACCAAACGTGGATCTGGTATGAAGAGCCATTTATATGAGTTAAATAGGAAAGATCTCTTCGGAATTAGGGTTTGGAAGACGGTCTCTCCAACAGAGTTGTCCCAACTATACCCGATGGGATCTAGTCCTTATAGGATCAAGTAAGGGTCAGCCCCATTGACATGCTAAAAATTTGTCCGGCTCGGATTCTATAACCCTGCATGTAATTCCAAGATCGCCGAAGCCCAGACTTTGGGCCATAAACAAATGTCAACATAGACAGCGGGCAAGCGCTGCCCCGCCCGCAGATGTGATGTCGCTAGAGGAAGAAGAACCATAGAAGCGGTCGGATATCGGAACAAAGCTACGATTTGAGCTCTAAAATGCTTGAAAATAGGTGGTTTTGATCAGCTAACATCTAGCCATCGTAGGGGAGAGTGCCTGAGTGTGGACGGTCTGCCAAGGGACCGAGTTTAAAGATGAGATTCCAGGTACCGATAAGGCGGCTTAATCCAAACTGAATGAATATATGGCGTTAGTCAAGTGGCGTACGTATAATGTCAGTGCTGGCAATTGCCCCTTTTCCCTCTATAAAAGCGATACCCACCCAGCAGAAACGAGCCTGTTCCCCATAGCTCTTACTGGTATCAACAAATCGATTTTACGCTATGAATAATTTTGGTGGTCTTCCTGGAGAGGTATACGAGACAGTCATGA